CATCGCCTAGCTTACTCAGAGTCACGGCGTCGGCGATCTCCATGAAGTCATCCTCTTCGCCCTCCTCCACAGCTGCTTCCTCCTCCTCTTCGCCCTCATCGTACTCGTTGGCCTCGTAGTCCCAATTTGTGCGCAGCATTGCGCGGCGTCGGGATAGGACCTCAAAAAGCTACCCCGGAGGGTGGGGGGCAGGAAAAGAGTAAGGCTTCTTATAATTTCGTTGGTTAAATATAATACAGACGAGAAATGGTAAGACACTGAAATAGGAAGCTCCACTTCAGAAGTGCAGTTACCCTTACGTTACATTCCAGGCTGGGTGCGTATTGCCGTTATCTCATACCCAACATAAAATATAACCCTAACTCGGTTGCAACACGATCTTGAACTCAATCTCAACACTACCAGTAACTCCAATTTCGAAAAAGACGCAATATGTGGTCTCACTCAGGCAACAAAGGATAGTTCATCGTGTGATAAGGGGGCGGTGCTAATAGGGGTTGTATGGGTGGGGGTAAATGGATGAAACGGAAACGATAATTTAACTCTACTCCTATCTATTGTGTTCGCTAAGGTAAGCATTCGTTGTCGGGTAAGAAGGATTGCACAATAGATTGTTCTCCCGAAATGAGTGCGACTTGCGAGAGCCGGTGGCTTTACGTCCTGACGACCACTAGGCGCGTTTTCATTCCTAGCACTCTTGACCCACTTCTTTACGGACTCCCGACCGAGGCAAGAATGAGGCGGGCTCTGCGCCATCTTTCAGTACCACAGAAAAAGTAACGCATTTTGAAACTAAAGCGGCATCCTAATAGTCGCCGCGTGGAAATTTGCAGGTTGAACCAGTAAATCGGACCCCTCACGGCCGACAAACTATTGTACAACCCTACTAACCCGGAAAGGAATGCAAACGAACCTAACGAAAACAATGGATAGAGTGACATTTACGTTGGCGTGTAACATGCTCACATTCTACACACTGGCCTATCCTTTGTTTCCTGAGTGGGGTCGAAAATTGCGTACTTGCCCCTGTTTCTCTGGAATTGAGCGCAAGGTTAGCTGTACAGTAGTCGCCGGTTATTAAGCCCAGCTCGGGCCAAGACCAAATTGGGCTTAATAAGCGGCGGACGCAATAACCGGCGCACTAACAGCAGAGTCGCCGGTTATTAAGCCCACATCGGGCCCAGACCAAATTGTGCTTAATAAGCGGCTGGGCCTATTAACCATAGGCTTAATAACCGGCGACTACTGTATTATGCCAGGTCCCGATTTTCCATGTCTTACGCCAAAAATACTGAAATTTTATACCTAGTGGAACTCTAGATGGGTCGCAGTTCCCAGCCGAACACTGGTTTAGTCAGGAAAATGTACTTTAAATGTGCCGTTGCAACTTGAAGTTTCGGAAGTTTGCGATCGGTAAGCCACTGTTGCCGGTTTGGTAGATATGGAAATCCCGTCAAAAATGCAGCACTAACTAGCTAGAATCAATTAGCCTTTGACGTAGGCAAAGAGAAACATGATACAAGACCAATAAACGCATACTCAAAGATGTCATCATTTTTCCCATTATTGCGTTAACTATTGACCGATATGGCTAGAGAATCTGCCACATGCACTTGGACCAAATTTTACCCAAAACCAAACCATGTGAATGGGGAGCTCCAGTATATTCGGTCTACAAAGTACGTTCTCCTAGGGCGGAATAAACAATCGGGTTAACGTTTGGTGGTTCACCGAAAGCATCCGGTGTTTTTGAGATAGCATTGGACTCATTCAACCAATGTTCTAAACAGTGACTTAGCAGAGCTAAATACCGCATTTTAGGAAGCAGTCCAAATCAGGCCAAATATCCAATTACAGTTTCAGGATTTTAACGGATCCGCATTATTGGCACTGACTTTGAAATTTTCCGGATATTAAGATGGGAGTGCGGATTTTCCACAGGAGTTACCTTTGGGACTAGGGTATGGATCGTTTTGTGTTTTCAGAGTGATGCATTTGTGATTTATCTGTCTTCCAGATTGAGGACATAGCAGAAACTTCCCAGAAGGTGATTAAGACTTTATTTAAGTCCTCGATTCACCCTGATTCAGTTCTTATTTCTCTCAAAAGTCTACTTAAATCCTAATTTCTCATGAAAATCTGACGGTCGTTATGTTCATATGATTCTTAATCAACTCCAAAAATGAGACAAACTTTTCTGAGAAGAAGAAGAAGACTCGATCGCTGGGACAATACGTTTATTCGCCTGA